TGACACGTGTAATTATTAAAAAAAAAAAAGCAAAGCTCTTCTTTAAAAAAAATAGAAATTATTCAACAGAGATTATTATTTAAAAAAAAATTAAAAAGTAGAAACTTTTCTTTTCTCTTCACGCATCAAAACTCTTCGGTTTTCGTCACAACCATTTTTCATTCTCTCTTCTTTTCTCATCACAACTACTTTTCGTTCTCTTTTCTTTTCTCGCACACACCAAATGTCTTTTCTTTCTTCCCTTTTCCTTGTAATGGTTGTATGAAATCAAAGTGACTTTGAAGTTCGAGGGTTTTATCGATTCGTTGTGGTTCGATCGACGAGTGGTGCACAACGACTAGTGTGCGACGGTGATATACCATAACTAGGGTTTTCATTTCCAAAAATTAAGGTAGAGAAGTTTAAATGACTTATAAATGATAGAGAAGTTTAAATTTCTTTTTAAATGGCTTTTAAATGTCTTTTAAATATTATAAATGTAAATTTAAATGACTTTTAAAAGCTTGACACCTTTTAATTTTATTTTTTTAAATAATTACACGTGTCAAATAATAAATGAATCATATCATTTCTGTTAGATAAATCAGCATATACTTAACAATGTTTAAAATAAGGCTTTATTTCAATCATTTCAAAAGTATAAGGATCATTTTTATGTGAACTATGACAGGGGGACTATTCTCAATTTCACATGAAAGTATAGGAACTAAAAACATACTTAACCTTAAACTAAACTAAACTAAACCAAGGACACTACTTTTAAGCATATTTCTTCAATGGAATGTCAATACTTAAAAGTAAAAAAGAGGTAGAAATTAAATATTTATAGTAGATTAAGGAAGTTACCTACAAGGAAGAAGAATAAGTATGACCCATTCTGATTTTTGGGCTAAATAAATTTTTTTAATGACCAAATCTCACTTATATTTTTTTCCTAGGATAATTTTATATTAGCCTAAAAAAATTAATGATCAAGTTAAAATTTAAAAAGAATTATTAATGTGTGGAAATTAAAATAATTAATTAAAAAATATTTAAATAAAAAATTATATTAATAAAATTAATTTTTATTTTAAATATAATAATCTAATATATAAATTATAAAAAAGAAATTTATTCAATCTCAAAATAATAATTAAAAAATTATTCTTCGTTATCATTATTTATTTTGTAAAGATTTATTTATTTAAAATAATAATTTAATTTAATCATTAAATCATGAAATAAATGAAGGTTAGAATTTTATTTTATTTTAAATAAAAATTATTATTATTTTATAACATAAATTGACCAAAAATCTATGGATTAGCATGTCATACATACATGTAAATCATAATCTAAATAAACAAATTAAGCAACTTTTTTGGTCTATCATATTTCTTAGATTATTAGGATTGACCCACCAAATTAAGTTTATTTTTATACCTCCAATAATTTGTATTATGTGTGGACCTCAACACAATTACACGTGAATTTTTAAATAAATCATAGGTATATTTTTTCATCTATTTTAATATATTTATCCAGTATTAAGAAACAAATACAAGATCAAATTAAAAAAAAAATATTATGTCATGGGTGGGTAATAGTGATTTGTTATAAGTTTCCTCTCACTATTGTGTATGTTAAATATCCAAGGTACAAATGGAACATTGTTGGTTTAAGTTTTTACAAAATTAAATATTTTAATTTAGATAAAAATAAAAATATAATAAAATATATGAAGAAAAAGATAAAGAAAAAAATATAAAAATAAAGGAAAAAAATTAAAAAAGATAATAAATAAATAATTATATAAAAAGAAGTAACCTCAAGGTTGAAGTAATCCTTAAATAGTTGGTAGATAATATGATATGAAAATATTAAAATTGAATTTCAGATAATTACTCCTTATTTAAATTATTAAAAATTGTTATATGTAATGTCCAGTTATAATAATATCATTATAATCAATTTTTATGTCTAAAATATTGTCTTATTTGAAGATCTTGTCAGTTAAGATTTTGTCCTTAAAAGATATAATGGTTAAGAGAAGAAAATATATATAAACTATTATTAATATCAACTCCTAAGTAATATAATACTCATGGATGTATCGAAACACAAGTAAATTTATTTTTTTAATCTCAATTATCAAAATCTTAATTATTTAAGCAAATTAACCTATATACATGGTTATCAAAATCGGATCAGCCAATTGAACGGAGAACTGAATTAATAATCAGTATAGAACTCCTTGAAAATTGGACGAACAATGAACTGGTCTGAAACAAGATAAATCGAATAGGTCAAGGGATCACATAATCTCTTTTTTTTAGAAAGAGCTGAACGACCTCGTTTCGTCCTATATTTTTTCTTTTTTCTTTTTTAGTTTAACACAGAGACACAAACGTAAAGAGAGAAAGTTTTATGTAATAGTGATATATCCTTTTTTCAGTACAGTCTTCGTTCTTGCAACTGTCACTACACTCACTATCTTTGATTGTTTCCTTCCGGCGTTACCCTTATTATTATCGTGGTCTATTATTATCATTACTACAATCATTCATGAAAACATAATAACATGTAAGAATTAAAATCTCTTCATTTTGAAAATTAATTTGATAAAACAATTTTAAAAATGTCACACAGTAAAGAAATAATATTTTTGGAGAGATTTTCAATGCATATTTCATGAAACTAAATTTAAATTTTCTAAAATTAGGATTTTTGAAATTGAGGTTTTCTAAGAGTGTAATAGTTTCTAAAATTGGATATAAGAATAAATTTGATATTGATGAGTGGATAATGAACTAAATTCGAGTGAGTTATCCTTGATTTGCATAAAAATAATATAAAATGTATAAAATTTGAAATTTGATGTAATAAAAAAATACAATGCAAATTTTTTTTAATTATTTTTAAGTTAGATGCAATTTTTTTTCTCTAATTATTTTTAAATTAGGTATAACAATATTTTTTATTCTAATAACTTTATATTCCAAGAATTTGATGATATGTTTATTAACGTTATTTTTCATTTATCTATTCTACAAATCATTTTTATTATTATATAATACTTTTTAAATAATATTTATATTAAAATTATTATTATATTATGATAAACTTATTTTAAATTTAATATATTATTATATTATTAAAATATATTATTTTATTAAACCTATTTGATTTAATTTTTTATTAAATTTTGATTAAATCTTTAAACCCTAAGTTCATCGATCCAGTTTTATTAACCATGCCCTATGTAAATTTTTTCCTTAACATTAATTCTAGGGATGACAATTAAACCTGTACCAGTGGGGATCGACCAGTTCATGCCCGAGTTTGACAGGAAAAATCCGAGTTGATCGGGGCGGGGCGAGGCGGGTTGCCCCGCCCCGCCCAACTTTATATTTAAATTTTAATTTTAATTTTAAAATATAAATATTTTAAAAGTATTTTTTTATTATTATATATAAGGTCATTTTTTATATTTCACCTATTTTTATTTTTCTTCTACCCACTTTTTAATTTTTTTTATCTTTTTTAATATTTTATATCAATTAATTTATTACATTATTCTCTCTCTTACCTTTCGAGTTTTTCACATTTCCTTAATCTCTCTCATCAATTTTTTTTTCAATCTTATCAACCAATTTGATGAACACAAAGTTAATTTTTTTATTCTTTATCTTTTTCTAAATATTTTACATAAATCTTAGTAGTAACTAATATTATTTTATTTATAATTTATATTTATTAGGTTTTATTATGTCATATTTTTTATCTTATTATTTTTATTTATCATATATCAAATTTTATCTTAATAAAATAATTGTATTTTAAAGGATTAAAGGAATTGATAATTTAAACTTTTATTACTTCGAACTAATTGAATAAGAATTAACTTATTAAATATTTCCTTATAAACTATATATTTCATATTTTTAAATGACAACTTAAAAATGAATTAACTTATATATATATAATCAAATGTTTGAATGCAATATTATAATAATAATGTTATAAGTATTCAAATATTTGAATACAGTGTTATAATAATAATAATAATGTTATAAATAAAAAATAATTAAGTATTTCTTTTTCATACATATTTTAATATAAATATAATAAATTAAAAAATATATTTAATTAATAATAATGATAAATTATAAAATTATAAATATTTATTTGTATGTAAAAAATAGATAGTAAAATTAATTTATTATAAATATAATTATTTTTTTAAAAATAATATAGATCGGAGACGGGACGGAAAATCCAAAACCGCGAGAGATGAAAATAAAGACTTAAGTTCTAACCCCAGGGATCAAAACGGGGCCGGGATAGTTAAAAAATTAAGGAACGGGAATCGGGGAGGCAAAACCAGCCCCGCGCACCCCATTGTCATGCCTAATTAATTCTAACCCTAGCTATATTAATGTTAACATTTTTCATAGATTTGTTGAATTTAAAGTTTCTCCAATTTTGTGAAAAGAGGCGGAAGGTAAGGCAAACACACCCCTCAGAGAAGAGGGGGCTCTTATTTCTCTAATTTGCCCCTTGGTCACGCGTATTTCTCATCAGCTTCTCAAGCTCTGTCCTTCTTCTACCGTGAGTTTTTTTTTTCTTTTTCTACATCTTCTCCGGTTTTTGGCACTGATAAATGCTCCTTATTCTCAGGTATCAGGTTTCATCTTTGATCTTGTCTCTTGCCCCTTGCTTTTCATATGATTCTGTGATGCCCTCAACAACCAGCCAGAGACATGATCACCAGGTAAATCCGCCAGCGGGAAATGGTTGCACCCATTTTCATCTTTTGCCCAATTTTGTGCATCCAGATCAATCTATAACCAGTATCTGTAATTCTTCTCTCTTGAAAAGCTTTTACCTCTGTTAATTGTAGCCTGGTTGTTTGATCAAAGCTGAGAGGATGGCAAACTAGGATCTTTTTGTATATTTTCCATACCCTTGATTGTTAGCCGCCAGATAGCAAGCATTGAAGTAGGGAATCAAAGTTCATGGAAGGCTTCTCAATAGTCTCAAATGGGCCTTCTTTACATTCCCTTGGAGTTGAAACTGTTGGTGAATTTCCTCGAAATGTTTGTTGTATTGGAAAATACCATGTTGATAATGGTGCTTGTAAACTTACACAAAAATGCTTGTTCAATCAACTTTTCCGTCATTATCTGAAGGATAACTGTTTCAAAGGTGGTGCTCGGCCTTCGCCGGTTTTGGTCTGCGGTCAAAAGCTCGATTTGTGTAAACTTTTCTTCCTTGTGAAGGAAAGGGGTGGGTATGCCGAGGTGTCGGCTAAAGGATTGTGGGGTTCTGTGATCAAGGAATTGGGTTTTAACCTTGAAGTTTTTATACCAGTGAAATTAGTGTACGACAAGTATCTCAATGATTTTGAAAGGTGGCTCAAGAAAACTTTTGAAGAGAAGATTTTAAAAAATGGGAATCATGGATATGATTGGGGTTTGAAATGTTTGTCATTGGATATAGAGAAAGAGTTCAGAGACCTGTTATGTCCAAATCTAAAGGACAAAACTGATGATGAACTTTTCATGTCAAAATCAAATAAAAAAAAGAAAAACTCTGATTTGGTTAACGGCAAGAAAGGTAATAATCTACCGGACACCAAAGATCAAAATAATAAATCTGAGGATGTCCAACACAATGAAGGTGATAATAATGAAAAATCCTGTAATGGAATTAAGGACAATCCTGCTACCTTGGGTGCAGAAGGAGCTGACAAGGAAGATAACCCGCGCAAACGCAAACGGGATCCATTATCCGGCATGATAAACTGGATGAAGCATATTGCAAAGCATCCTCTTGGTCCTTTAACTCAACCGATACCAAAACCATCGAAGTGGAAGGAGTACAAAGGCCAGGACTTTTTTGGTCAGTTTCTGAAGGCAAGAGAGGTTCTGTCACTGAGAAAGCATGAAGAACCAAATAGTGGATCGTCTTCTTTGCAGGTATAACTTCAATGCCCAAAAGTAGCTTATCCATATGATTTTTGCTTGTCATTTCATTTCCTGAAGCAAATCATCCTCTGCTTGAATGTGTATTTATCATTTTATCCTTTTATTTTATCTGTTAAGCATTACATCATACTTAATTCTGCCTAGGTATGAATTATCTGATGTCATTCCATTAGTTTGTTTCCTATATTAACTATGCATACTATCCAAAAAATTAGCTTGCAACCATAAACTCTTAGCGCCTCTATAAACTCGACTAGTTGCCACACGAGACTTGATCTAATTATATTGATAATTTTAGAAAACCTATAAATGATAGATCTGCATGAACTTAATAATTCGAATCACATTTATCAGAATCTTATGATTCACAATTCGAATTTCACAATTGGATACATTTTGGCTATCTACTTATTTATTCGTATTAAAAGATAAATCTGTATCTTCTGACACATGAATGGATCTATGTAATTTTGTATCACAGGTAAGATTCACACAATTCAACTATTTATATGTTATTACTTTTTTACCAATTCTTATGAAAAAAATTAAAAAGTTCTGTGAGCTTAAATTTTTAAATGATTAAATTCTTTCTGTTTTAATCAACTAGTTAGAAAGAGATTGTGTTATGAACTTTCCTTGAAGACCTTTAAATGCATTATTGAGTTGCTTCCAAAGAGAGTAAGCTTTAGCATAATTGTAAGCTTGCTGTCTTGTGAGCGATCATGCTTTTGGGTCATGGCATAGAATTTTTTGTCAACTGTCATAGGCTGTTTTTTATACACAGTATTTACATTACAATAAACGGGATATCTTCTTCATAAATAAAAAAAAAATGAATAAAGTAGCCTGAAAATATCGAAGGACTAAATGAATCATGATGTGAATCTATCCTTGTGAAGAAGTCTTTATCTTGGGTTTGAATAAGGTATTTTGTAATTTTTAGGAAATTCAAACATCCTGAATTTGAATTTCTTTCATTTGAAATAATTTAATTTATCAAATTATTTGTTTGGATAAGACAATTCACATTTTTTGAATTTTAATTTTTTTATTTAGATAAAGTATTTCAATTACTACTAAATATAAAAATGATCATTACTAGATTTATGAATTAGGTTTAACTCATAGTACTTGACTTTAGGGTGTCAACGTGAGTCAACCCAACTCACATAAGCTGGCTCAATGGACGTGGTGGTTGACACAACAGGTTCAAAGGATGCGGATGAAAAGTGGGTAGACTACAAGAGGTGCAGATGTAACAACCATGAGTGAGGATGACTCTATTGGCTTGTAACCGCACGAACACAAGATAGCATAAATGAATACAATTAGGATTTTTATTAAATTATTGTAATTATTTTTAAAATGCATTATAGGTTGTGGATCAACCTACCATAACCCAGCTCAAATTTGTGGGTTAAGTGAGCTAGGTTCATTTTAGCCCATAATCGATAAAAATAAAAATTATCAAACCCAATCTGGTTCGAACCTGCGGTGAGCCGAGTTGACTCATAGGTTAGAACTCATATTAACACCCTATTTGATCCCTATCAAAGTGGGTCAAGTTGGACTGAGACAAATCATGAAAGGTTAGATCAAGTCGAGTCAAATCAGGACAGAACAAACTGGTAAGGTTGGGTTTGGTCAAGACAATTTGTACGGGGTTGGGTCAAGTCGGGTTAGGTTGAGCTATGGTGGGATGCATCAGGCTGGATCAGGATGAACGAGTCATGTCAGGTTGAGTTGGGTCAAGATGGGTCAGGTTAGATCATAATCAAACAAGACAAACCAAGATGAGATAGGTTGGGTTTGGCTAACACAAGATGTGTCTGGTCAGGAGGGGTTAGATCAATGAGTCGAGCTAGGGTCTAAGTTGGGGTTGGCTAAACTTATTTTGGGTAGTTGGATTGAACCTGATAAAAAATAATTAAATTAGATTATGCCAAGTTCGATCGAGATGGGTTGGGTAAGCCAATACATGATGGACCAAAACAAGAGGGGTAGGGATAGTTCGAGTATGGTAAAACGTATCAAGTTGGTTCGAACTAGGTGATGTCAGGTCGGATTGGGCTAGGTCATATTTATTTGGGTCAAACAATTCTGGAATGGATCTGATTGGGTTGGCTTAGATGAGCGAGAGATATTTCAATCGAGATTGAGGTAGAGAAAAAGTATGAAGATAAGAGAAATGGATATGAGAAGGGAAAAATAATGGAGAATTTCAAATTCTTATTTATATTTAAAATTCTCTTATCTAAGTAATCAAAATATCCTCATGAATTTCTAGAATTTCAATTATTTTTCAAATTTTCTATCCACACAACTAATATTGTCATGAAGTATTTCAAGTTCGCTATTAAAATAAATTACCCTCTATAAATTCTCCTTCCAAACAGAGGGTTAGTGTTGGTATTAAGAATTCCTCAAGCAAAGCTTCCTCCAGTTGATGACTCTGCACACGTCAAGTCCCATATCGTCAAATCCACAAACTTGCAATGCGCACCTCAAATTCCACATTGAACAACTGTACACCTATACACTCGTGTTTTTTTATTACATTTGCCTAGCCTTAATCTTTCTGTTAGGATTTTCTAAATATTCCTTTTTTCTGTTTTGATTGATTTCTTTTTTCCGTTTTTTTTCTTCCTTCCATTCACATTTTTGTGTATATAAGTGAAGGAATGTATGACTTAATAATAATTCATTTTTACAGAAACTTTACGTGAAAAACACTTTCTATCTTTCAAATGGTTCAAAACCTGTTATGGTATCAGAGTTCTTGATCTCAAGAGCTCTGGTTTTCTTCTTCCATGGCAAAAAGAAATTCAAGCAGTGGAAGTGGAAATCCTCCACCTCTTCCTCCACCACAAGACCCTGCTTTAAACCCATTGAGTGAGTATTATATTCATCCTGGAGAAAACCCCTCTCTTGTCTTAGCTACACCATTGTTGTCCGAAAGAAATTACCATAGCTGGGCTAGAGCTATGAAGAGATCCCTCATTTCTAAAAACAAATATAAGTTTGTCAATGGCATATTGCCAATGCTATCTTCCTTTGATCCAAGTTTTGAAGCTTGGGAAAGATGCAACAATTTAGTACTATCCTAGATCTTCAACTCTGTGGAGCCAACAATTGCTCAAAGTATTGTCTACTTGGAGGTCACATCAGTAGCATGGAAATTGCTAAAGACAGATTTGCACAAGGCAATAGAGTTCGAGTATTTGAGTTGCAGCAAGAGCTGAATTCATTAAAGCAAGGTACAAACTCTGTGACTAGTAACTTTACTGAGATGACTACCTTATGGGATGAGATTGAGAACGTTAGACCTCTCCCACATTGTGTGTGCACTGTAAAATGTGTATGTGATGCCAGCAGAAATGGTAAACTCTACAGAGACGAGGATTGTATTTTGAAATTTCTAAGTGGACTGAGTGATGATTTTGAGGTAGTAAGATCACAGATCCTCATGATGGAGTCATTCCCAGATCTAAGCAAAGTGTTCTCACTAGCAATACAACAAGAAAAGAAGTTTAGCCTCAATACTGGTAGTGATGGTGATGTGCAAGTTTTTGCAAATGCAGCAGAATGGAGAAGGCCATACGGCAGAGGAAGAGGTAATTCATCAAACTTTTTTAATGGAAAACCTAATATGAAAGTTTCAGGTCACACTGTTGAAGTATGTTATAAAAAGCATGGTTATCCAACCAATTTTAAAACAAAGAACAGTGGAAGCATCAATAGCATTGTAGGGGATTCTTCTAACTCTGTTGTGAGTGGTGAAGCAGACTCAAAAGGGGACACTGACACAGCTTCTCAAGCCTCCTCACAAGTCTCATTGTCTGATGAGCAGTTTAAGGCAATCATGGCTCTGCTCCAATCTTCCAATGTTGCTAGCCCCTCAAGGAATAATCAGGTAGCAGCTGTTACTACAAAACAGCAAACACAATCAGGTAATCATATAGCATGCAGCATTCATACCTTGTTTGACACCTGGATACTTGATTCAGGTGCAACTGACCATATTTGTTCAAATAAAAAATTATTCAGTTGTTTAAAGCCAATAAACCATGACCCTATCATAGTAAATCTTCCAAATGGACATAAATCCACATCAACACACAAAGGAACCATCACTATTGATCATAATCTTATTTTAACTGATGTCCTTTTTCTGCCAGGGTTCACTTTGAATCTTATTTCAATATCAAAACTGAGTTCACAGCTTAACTTTGGTTTCCTTTTTTTTCCTTTCCTTTTTTTTCCTGACTCGTGTCTCATATAGGACTTGAACACCTTGAAGATGATTGGTTCAGCTAGAATGAAGGATGGGTTGTATTATCTACCTTACCATCATCTCTCACAGCCATGTACATCACAATCAGCTGTAGTAAATGAACCTTAACCAAATCTCTTTTTCCAGAAACTGCCTTGTGGCATTTCAGATTGGGGCATGTCTCTAATTCACGAATGAATATGCTTTGTGATTTTTACCCTTTTTTACATACATATAATAAAAATTTAGTTTGTGACACTTGTCACTTTGAAAAGCAAAAAAGATTACCTTATAGTGATAGTAATAGTCGGGCAACTAAGCCTTTTGATCTCATTCATGTGGATGTATGGGGACCTTATAGTGTTCATACAATTCATAAACAAAAGTTCTTTCTTACAATTGTGGATGACTATAGTAGGTACACCTGGCTAATTTTGATGAAACATAAGTCAGAAACAGAAAACCACTTGAGAAATTTCACCAAAATGATTGAAACTCAATTTGAAAGGAAATTTAAAATCATTAGGTCAGATAATGGGACTGATTTTTTTATGAAATCCTTTTACAAAGATTATGGAATTCTTCACCAAACAAGTTGTGTTGAGACACCTCAACAGAATGCTAGAGTTGAGAGAAAACATCAAATTCTTCTTAACATTGCTAGAGCCCTTTTGTTTTAAGGGAATTTACCAAAGTTTTTTTGGGGCCTAGCTGTTGCACATGTTGTGCATTTATTGAATAGGTTACCATCTCCCATTATTGACTCTAAGTCACCTTATGAAGTTTTATTTAATCAAAAACCAGATTTAAATATTTTAAGAGTCTTTGGTTGTCTTTGCTATGCATCCACAAATACTTCACATAGAGGAAAGTTTGATCCAAGAGCAAAAAAATGTGTTTTTGTGGGGTACAAGCCTGGCACAAAAGGATTTTTATTATATGAACTAAGTACAAAGACATTGCAAGTTTCCAGAAATGTTATTTGAGGAGTACATTTTTCCTTTTCAAACTGATATGCCAAGTACAGTTTCTGACCAAAGACACCACCAACCTGCCATCATTAGTCAACCGAATTTCCCTACACTTCACCAACCTGCCATCATTAGTCAACCAAACTCACCTACACTACACACATCCTCTCCTCATACTGAACAAGAACTACTGCCAGCCAGCACTGAATCAATACCAACATCTCTACGTTCTCATAGCCATGAACCGAATCTACCACAAACAATAAGAAAATCACACAGGGTCAAACAAAAACCTATATACTTGCAAGATTTTCAATGCAACTCAGTCCTCTCATCCCAGCTGGCTAATCAAGGTAGTCCTTATCCCCTCTCATCCTTTTACTCCCTATCTAATCTATCTCCTTGTTATGCTGCATTCTGTATGAATATCACTAATCAAAAGGAGCCTAAGACATTCCTTGAAGCTAGTAAACAGGATTGTTGGAGAAAAGCCATGGAGGCTGAAATCCAAGCTCTTGAGCTCAATGACACTTGGAGTCTTGTAGATCTTCCACCTGGAGTTACTCCCATTGGCTACAAATGGGTCTATAAGATCAAGAGGGAATAAGATGGAACCATTGAAAGGTATAAGGCAAGATTAGTTGCCAAGGGATACAATCAAGTTGAGGGACTTGATTACCTAGACACCTTTTCACCTGTAGCAAAACTAACCACAATTAGAATCATTATAGCTCTTACTGCAGCTCACAATTGGCATCTACATCAATTGGATGTCAACAATGCTTTTCTACATGGTGATTTGAAAGAGGATGTGTACATGGTTCCTCCACAAGGTATGGCAGTTTCTCATCCAAATAAGGTTTGCAAACTAACTAAATCACTTTATGGTTTAAAACAGGCAAGCAGACAGTGGTTTGAGAAGCTTTCTTCCTTTCTTCTAACCTTGGGGTTCCATCAAGCCACTGCAGATCATACTTTATTCCTTAGATTCTTTGATTCTGGGTTTACTGGTCTATTAGTGTATGTGGATGACATCCTATTATTTGGGACTTCTGTACATGCATTTGCTTCAGTCAAGCAACAATTGCATAGAGTATTTGGCATCAAAGATCTTGGTATTTTAAGATATTTTTTAGGATTGGAAATAGCACACTCTTCACAGGGAATTTCCATCTCACAAAGGAAGTATTGTCTTGAGCTTTTGGAGGACACATCTCTAACCAACTGTAAACCTGCCTCGACTCCTTTGGATCCAGCAATGGTTTTACAACAAGACAAGGGAGTACCATTTCCAGATGTTATTGCATACCGGAGACTAGTTGGCAGATTGCTTTATCTAACAACTACAAGGTCAGATATCACCTTTGTTGTTCAACAAGTCAATCAGTACCTTAATTCTCCAACTTATGCACATCACCAAGCTGCAGTTAGAATACTTCACTACTTAAAGAATGCACCAGGATTAGGATTGTTCTTCCCTAGAAACAGTGACTTGCAACTTCGTGGGTTTGTTGATGTTGATTGGGGAAGATGTCCAGATACTCAAAAGTCCATCTCTGGTTATTGTTTTTTTATTGGTTCTTCCCTGGTAAGTTGGAAATCAAAGAAACAACTCACTATAGCTCGTTCCTCTGCAGAAGCTGAGTATATGGCTCTTGCTACTGCAACTTGTGAATTGCAATGGATACACTACCTACTTCAAGATCTTCACATCCATCCAACCAAGTCCCATGTGATATTTTGTGACAACCAAAGTGTCATACACATTGCACAGAATCCTGTTTTCCATGAGAGAACTAGACATTTAGAAATTGACTGTCATCTAGTTAGAGAGAAACTACAGTCAGACCTAATGCATTTGTTGCCCATTTCATCTCATGCCCAAATAGCTGACTTTTTCACCAAGGCCCTACTTCCAAAATATTTCACTGCCTTTTTATCCAAGCTTGGAGTGCACAATATCTTCTGCCCTCCAGCTTGTGAGGGGATATTAAGAATTCCTCAAGCAAAGCTTCCTCCAGTTGATGACTCTGCACACGTCAAGTCCCATATCGTCAAATCCACAAACTTGCAATACGCACCTCAAATTCCACATTGAACAATTGTACACCTATACACTCGTGTTTTTCATTGCATTTGCCTAGCCTTAATATTTCTGTTAGGATTTTCTAAATATTCCTTTTTTCTGTTTTGATTGATTTCTTTTTTCCGTTTTTTTTTCTTCCTTCCATTCACATTTTTGTGTATATAAGTGAAGGAATGTATGACTTAATAATAATTCATTTTTACAGAAAATAGACTTTACGTGAAAAATACTTTCTATCTTTCAAATGGCTCAAAACCTGTTAGTCGGCTTTTACGGTGTCTTACCCTATCATATGTATGCCTTGAATAACTCAGATATAAGTCACCAAACACCTTTCTCTCCCAAAACCTTCTACAGTACGTCACTTGACACTTGCTTGTGTATACCTTTTCCAAGTCCATAAAAATTGTATGTATGTTTATTTATTTGCTTTGGTATCTTTCCATCCACCTTGTAGAAGATGAATAACTAAAATAGTAGGCCTTCCTAGCCTAAACACAAACTGATTCTTTGCAATCTAGTCTCTTGATAATATTGGTCAATAACCTTTTCTAATAGTATGACTGATGGGCCAACCATTGTTGTGCTAACTGGGCCTATTGTTAGGAGTTAATAAAGAAAAGAAGATAAGAGTCTGAGTGGAATTGGAGGGAAAGAGAGGGGAGCATGACATAATAGACAGCTGCAGAAGGGATATAGGAATCAGAAAGAGAGAGGGAGAATGAAACCGTGAAGGGTGTGGAGAATTTTCCTGGTGGGAACTAGGGGTTCTCTGAGTAAGGAGCTGTTCCTTCTCAGAATTGAATATTCATTTTTCTGTTCATCTATCTTCCATTTTCATCTTTTAAGAAGCTTATTTTCCTCAAATTTCCTTTTGTTGTTGGTTTCTATGAGGGACTCTTTTAAGTTGTATCCCCTTGTTGTTAACATAATTCCGAATACCTCCCTTGTTCTTATAGATGGGAAAGAAAATCCTCTTCCACCACTCATTTAACATTTCTCTGATCTCAAAATCCCATTGAATAGCTTAGTGAGTCAACTGATATTATGTTCTCCTCATTAAATATTTTTCTGCTCATTTTAGTGTTTTCTTTTTTTTTCTTTTCTTCAATTATTTTCTTTAATACTTATACTGCTTTTTAATTATTCTTTTTCAATATCTATACTGCAGCCTTTTTCAATTCTCTTTTATTGATTATACATAATTCTTTTATTTATGTTTTTATTTTTTTTATTATTCTTTATTCTGTATTTCAACTCTGTTTTCTTTGATTATTCTTTATTCTGTTGATTCATTATTTCCTTTTTACTTTTGTTTTCTAATATTTATTTGTCGTTTTTAGTGATTGAACTGCCACCTTATTTTTCAAGTATTTAGGGCTTATTTGATTCAATTTTGTTTTTAAGAAAATTATTTTTGAAAGTTAGAAAAAAAACTTGATTGATAACTCTATTTTTAAAAATTATTTTAAACGGAAAAAAATGATACGAAAAATCATAACAAAAGTTGAAAAATGATTGTAATAACATTAGTATATATACAACCACAGACCCATATCTAAGTTTCTGTTAATTGCCACTTTTAATGGGTACAGGAGAAATGATTTTGAGATGCACAGGCTCGAACTGTGTCTAATTCTAATAATTTACTCATAACATTGACCATAAATTTCTTCAGGAATCAATGTAATTGATATTACTTTGGTATTGCAATAGTAACAAATGCTTCTGCTAGAAGACAAAATCTTAATGAGAAATTCTTATTTATGCTATGTGGAAAATTTCTGAACAATGTATGAAATTGTATGCTTTGCAGAAGCAGAAGATGCATCCTGCCATGTATGACGATCATATTGCTCTTGGTCGCCATGCTACAGGAAAATCAAGATGCAGTGAAAGGCTGCCTTCCTCTGTTAAATCTCGGTCATGCTCTTGCTGCAATCCATGTTCCCGCAATAAAAATGCATTGGCTGGTTCACACAACATGGTGGTAGAAAAATGTCCTCAGGAGAAAACAACTCAAACACTAGATATTTTGACTGAAGAAACTATCTCCGAATCATCTGAGGATGAGTTTCTTCAAAAGCAAGTATCTGTAGGCCCTGGTTTTCAAGCTGAAATCCCGGAATGGACTGGTGTAGTTTCTGAGAGTAACTCTAAATGGTTGGGCACTCGAAAATGGTCTTTGAAACCTGATACAAAACCTGCTAATGAAACAGATGTTGGCCGGGGAAGACAAGGGAAGTGTAGCTGCGAACATCAAGGTTCTGTTGCGTGTGTTAGATTACATATTGCTGAAAAGAGGATGAAATTGAAGCTTGAATTGGGCTCTGAATTTTACCATTGGGGATTTGATCGAATGGGCGAGGAAGTTTCACTTCAGTGGACAGCTGAAGAAGAAAAGAGATTTAAGGATATCATGAGATCAAGTACTCCCTCTAAAATTAAATATTTTTGGAACAATCCATTCAAATACTTTACAGACAGGACTAGAAAAAACGTGGTGAGCTATTACTTCAATGTATTTCTCATTCAACTAAGAACCTATCAGAATCGGACAACCCCAAAGAATATTGACAGCGATGATGAAGTAGAATTTGGAAATTTTAGCAATGGTTTTGGAATGGAAGCTGTCAAGGGTCCTGGTGATGATTTCATGGAGTGTTCTCTGAGCAAGCAGTATTCTGAATTTTAATAGACAGATTAGTGTAAGTTCGATAATTGGATCTGAGCCAGTTTGAGCTTGAGAAAATATTTTCCTGAGACAGATTGTAGGAGACAAACTTGTACAAATCTCTTCCTCCATGATAATTGGTGAATGCATTACTTATACCAGCAATTTTTTTTTGTATAATATAGGGAGGTAGAGAGAGAGAAAAGAACTAGGATGTGGAATGATTAGTATTGGAAATTGGAAGCAAATATGAACATGCGCTCGAGTCATTTCTAGCCATAAGGAAGAACAACTTGCCAAGGCTGCTATTAATTTTGTTGAAGATGGTTATGTTTGTTGGTTGAAATAGCAGTTTAACTTGATGTTTCTTGGAGGCTTCCCTATTAGTGTTGTAAACTTAGTTTTGTGTAGTTCAAGCTAGTGTTTGCAATGTTGTGTTTCTGGTCATTGTTTTGTAGATTAAATCTATACATTTTATTTATGACATTTTTCTCACATTTTTCTCAATCAAACAACTTTGAACTGTTGGCGAATGTGAATTTATTCTTGTCAAAGTTTGATTTAGATTTATTTTCTAAAAGCAGAGATCAATTTTAAAAAAATATTTTTGAAAATAAATTATTAACAAATATGATAATTTTAGTTTGAAAAACTCTTTTAGATGAAAAATGGTAAATTGATAATAATGAAAAATCACTATAAAAATTGAAAAACAATTTTTAATAGTGTTAGAGTATTGATTTGTTGACAACCTCAATCAAATAAACAATAAAAAATTAATAAAATAATAAATATTATTATTATAATATAACGTACGTGGCAAAGTCCAATCAAATATTACTCATAGTTTTATATAATAAAAAAAATATTATACAGTACAGTTATGGTGTGAAATAAAATAAAAATTAAAAAATTATTTTCATAAATTTGTTATTGAACAAATTTTTTTATTTTTTAAAAACTAACATTTTCCTTATTAAGAAAAAAGGACACAAGTACACCATTTTGTGTTTTATTTCATTCGGTTGATTATGCATATGGTTTTGTATTTTATTTGTCGTATTTCTCTGTTTTGTTGTTTAATTATAGCATAGCATGTGAGTCTTTCTTTCCAAAAGAAATAGAACTATAGTCCCCCATCATTTCTCTCTCATCTGTGAATTAGACAAAATCATATTTTTGCATTCTGTTAAATAATATGATTTTTATGAATTATAATTTATATTTTTTAAATCAAACATAATCTGCTTAATAAAATAAATCATTCTATTTGGTCTAATAAATAGATTATTAGAGATACCAAATATTGAGTTGACGGTTTTTTAAAGAACAATTTTAAAAAATTGAAGATATTTACAAAATATTAATTAAAACTATAAATTGCATATATATATATATATATATATATATATATAGTAAATAATTAATTTAAATAAAATCTTATACATTAAAGAACATAATTAAGTTATGGAAAATACTTATATTTAGTTTCATTTAAAAAAAATGATTAATTGAATTTCATTAAAAAATATAAGTGATTTTTCTAAATACTCTTTTATATCTAATTAAATGCAAACACTCTAATTTATTTTTGTAGTATATACAAAATTCTCAATACTTATGGACATGCATACATGTCTGTACTCATTAGTTCATTCATGCATTTACAGCAATAAATAAGTAACTCATTCTCTACAAATATTTTTTAAAAAATGACTTATATTGATTGATGATAATTTTGAAAAAATATATTTAATATTGTCTTTATTTTATAAAAATACTTATATTTTAGGGTAATTTTTTAAAAATAGATTTCTATTTTGGAATGGATGAAATATCTAAATAAATCATTATCTATGTTTTTTTATATAGCTAATTATTATGAAAACTTCTACTTCCAACAGCATCATTATTAAAATGCATATATTTTTCCAAAATTTTTTAGTTTATTTTTCCTTAAATGACAACCAGTTGTAGTAAATATGTTATAATTGACACAAAATAATCTTTAACTACATTTCACTTTTATTAGTTTTTCTCTCCTAATATATATGTATATGGGTGTGCAATAGAGGATACAAAATTTATGAAAAAGAAAAGTGACATGATGAGAATTAATTATCAAAATAATGTGACAAACTAATTAATGTAATTTTCATATCTATCATTCTTAATTAATTTTCATCTCTGCAGCAGATAAAAATAATATGTATAAAAACTAAAAAATAAGTCTAGAGATTAAAAAGTTAAATTTATTAGATTATACAAATTTATCAAAAAATATAAAATGGATTTAATGTTTTGTTTCTTCATGTTAATTTGAAATAACTCAATGACAAATTTTTTTTTTTTTGTCTGTGTTTGGGTCTCGGCCTTTTTGTATTTGTGGAACATGAAGTAAGCAGTTTCACACTTTTTACTTCTATGTATACATTTGATTCCACACTGCTTCGCAGCAGCACACTCGCACAAAGAACCAAAGACAAAGCACAGAGAGAAACAATGTCTTCCCCGAGCAAACGCCGAGACATGGACCTGATGAAACTGTCTGTAATCTTTTCTGATTTTCTTTTTAATTTTTTCTTTAAATTTCAGAAAATTTTCTTTTGCATAAATTTGTTGTCTTTTTCCATTTGGGGTGTTTTGGATTGACATGAATCAGGTCATCAGGATGATGAGTGATTACAAGGTGGAGATGATCAACGACGGCATGCAAGAGTTCTTTGTGGAATTCCACGGACCTAAAGACAGTAAATTTTTGCATCTTTTTTTTAGTTTTATATTATTATTATTATTATTATTATTATTATTATTATTATTATTATTATTATTATTATTATTATTATTATTATTATTACTTTTTCAGTTCCCAGTGAGATGAAGCTGTTCTCTTTAGTGCAACTTTGTCTCCATTGAAATTGAAATTTCTTGGACTGTTTGGATCAGTGGTCAATAGCTGGGACTGACCATGAATTGAGCTTGTCCACTTTTGTCTAATGTTCTTGATTTATTGTTCAGCTGTTTACTTCAATGAGGATGAATTGCATTAGGATCTAGGCCTAGTTAAGTTCAAAAGTGAAAATGGATGGTTGTTTTATTTTTCTCTAATATTCTTTTCACTTTTATGGGAATCATGTGCAGGTCCCTATGAGGGTGGTGTGTGGAAGATAAGGGTGGAGCTACCTGATGCTTATCCTTATAAGTCTCCATCTATTGGCTTTGTCAATAAAATTTTTCATCCTAATGTTGATGAAATGTAAATCCTGCTTCATTGAATCATAGTTTATATCATATTTAAGCATCGAACAGTATACTCAATGGGAAGTTGCACAAACACATTACAAAAATAGTAGTTCATTAATACGGTTTCCTATGATGCTTAGGTCTGGTTCTGTTTGCTTAGATGTTATTAACCAGACTTGGAGTCCCATGTTTGGTAAGCAATGTTTAAAGAATTTTATTATATGCATACTTGCCATGGATCTTTGTTACTGCCGCTATCTAAAATTTGGTGATTTTTCTTTTTTCCTTTCAGACCTTGTTAATGTGTTTGAGGTGTTTCTTCCTCAACTTCTTCTGTATCCCAATGCATCAGATCCATTGAATGGTGATGCTGCTGCCTTGATGATCCGAGATCATGCTACATATGAACAAAGAGTCAAAGGTTGTAATCCTTTCTGTAATATAAAACTAGAATGCCTCTTACATGCTTAGGTAATTCATATAAGTAGTTGGAGGGTTTCTTCATTATTGTTAACAATAACTACAGTCATATTTTTATGGGATTTCAATTGGAGTGAAAAATCATAATTGGTTAATAGCTAATAAAAAGTTTTGAAGGTTCAGGTTTGTGCGAGAGGATCGATATCATTTTGCACAAACTGCATATTGAAGACAAATCCCTTAGCACATTTGTGTCAAAGGATTTGTTGGATATAAACCTTGGCATTTTTATATGGCAATATACTGGGCATTGGAAGAGGTTTTCTGGGCTTGAGCTATCTTATTATAAGTTTATAGTATGACCTTCATATTTTAACTTAATACCAATTGATATTAAGCCAATTAGTTCAATGGATATATAAACTGCATCCCAAAAATTAAGGCGGGATGCAGATAACATTCCCCTTGATAAGATATCATATCAGATTTTAACTTAGTATCATTTTAATTAAACCAAGTGGCCAAACAAATGTATAAGTTGCACATCGAAAATTGAGACGAACAATGTGGAACTCTCTCCAATCCCCTTGACAAGATGCTTGGCAAACCAGGCAAGCCTATCAAAATAAGTTATGATTAAGAGAGTTGTAGGTTCTAATACTATATCAAATTTCAATTTCTGATTGGACACTTACATAATGGCAATTAGTTTTAAGTTAACATTTGACACTTATTACATCCTATTTTGGTATTCCCTTTGGCAGTGATCAATCCCACTCTGTAATAATAATAAGTGTACACCGGGTGTGTAAAAGATAAGATTTTGAATTCCAATACACATATGACAACATACAACATGTGTTTGGTATAATGTTGAATACTTTGCTGGTAACTGCCCTAGTATAAAGTATTTAACATACACAACCAATTTCAGGTTCTGAGTTTCAGAGCAAAGCTAGGACTTTCCAAATTAATGTCATACAACTTCTATTATTGCTTTTGTCAATTGAATCATAGATCCTAGAACTCCGGCCATGTTTGGTATAGCAAAAAATAATTGTTTATTACCATAAAACATTCTTAGAAAGCTAACAAAAATAGTGATTATTTTCTTAGAAAATGTTGAACAAATGTTTTTGTTTTGTCATTCATTTAAACTTCTACTTTCTAATTTGATATGTGACATTCGTAGACCTTTACTTATTTATTCTTCTTTGCATTCTTTGATCATTGAAGAAAATTAATGCTTACACATATAGGTGAGTAGTTAGGTATTGTACATCATGGTCACAGAAACCTAGATGTTTCTGTGTATTTTAATTGTAGGACCTAGCTTCAAGTGAGAGATTAGTTTAAAGACATATCTACCATATGTCAATACATTGTTCTATTCTAAGGATGTGCTTTTGTTCATATTTTTTATTTTTTGAGCCAATGAACAGAATATTGTGAGAAGTTTGCCAAGCCAGAAGACATTGGAGCAGTAGAGGAGAAAGATTCTAGTGAGGATGAGCTGAGTGAAGATGATTATGCCTCTAGTGATGATGCCATTGTCGGCCAACCTGATCCTTAGATTTTTAATGTCTGTCTTATTTAATTGTACATGGTATCAAATGATTTGATATTGAGTCCAAGAATAGGTACAAGAGACAAGTTGTTAAGGTTGAAGGAAAACTTCACATGATGGTTCTGTAAATTGATTTATGATTTAGTTGTTTAAGATATTTAGTTATGTGACTAGAAAATTCAATTTCTGAAGGTTAGATTGGTTCTGCATATACGCATTTATTACTTTTAATTATTCATCTTCAAAAAATTAGATGAAGACCCTATTGCCATAGGAAATATGCGATTAAGAATTAAGTTTGTTGAAAAACGTGAGAGGAAGAGTTGAGTTCAATGTTTCTTCAATGAAAAAGGGATAATTTAGGCAAGACTATTTTAGATGACAAGATTTTTCTATATAACTCAAATTTCAAATCATTAATTTTATTTTTAAAACTTATGAGTTCAAACACACAATTAGTAGTTATTATGTAAACATAGATGGGGGGTTAAATAGGTATCTCATAATGAGAGAGTTCGTGTTTATTGGATTTTTTTTTTAGAAAATATTTCTAGCATTATTACACGTGAGAAAAATATAAAATTAAGGTATTCAAAAATAAAATGAAAATCAAATTTATATATATGTGTGTGTGTGTTTTAATTCCACTAATTTGACTTTTTTTAATCATTTAGATTAAAATTTATTTTGTAGTCCTTGAATTAAAAAGACAAATCCTTATTGTTAATAACAACATTATTTATGTGATTAACAATATTATATCAATAATGACATGTATAATGAAAATTAATTACATAAAAAATAATTTTAAAAATTTTTGGGTGAAGTATATTTTTAGTCTTTTAAATTGGGAGCAAAACTCATTTAGGCCCCAAATTTAAAAATTATTATTTAGTCCCTTAAATTTAAAATTAATTGTTTAATCTCTTAAACTTAAAAATGATTTTTCAATCCCAAAATTTAAATCCATTTTTTTGCAAGGTGAATTTCTTAGTCCTTTAAAGTTAAAATGTAACTTTTTTTACTCTTCTATTTTAAAAATAACTCATTTCAGTATACAAAGAAGTCATTGCTAAAATAAATGTTTTAAATATCCATAATTTATGACAATTTTAAACCTCCACAGTTAAAATTGAATAATGATTTAATATAAATTTTCTTAAGCTTCTAAAATATTATATTTACACATTCTCGTGATGACAATACTAAAAATGACTACATTTGGTGAGGTAATGATTTGAGGTAATTTTAAGTTTTGTTTGACTTTTTAAAAATCACTGAAATCAAACATAAAAATTAGCTTAATTTAGTTTGGTTTGATTTTGATTTAAATATAAAATTTAAATCAATATATGACCAATTGATTTGGATATGTAATATGTTGATGTGAACTTTTGTCATTATAAATTTATTAAACATTTTATTATAAAGTTTATTAAATAAAAAACTTACTATTAAATTATTATATATTTATTGTCATGTTTATATTTTTAACTTTATCTCATGTTCATAAATAAATTATACATTTTTATGGTTAACATTTACAGTACAAACTTGTTGTCATGCTTTTGATAAATATAATTTTATTGCAAAAATACAATGAAACTGGAAATTAGTCTCTCGGAAGTGACACCAATGCTTGCAAGGTAGTAATTAAATAAAAAGCTTATAACATCACATTTTTTATGGTTTTCGAAGCTTGATAACAGAGGATTGTTCACGATTAATTATTTTAATAAAATTATATATTTGATTTGGGTTAGATTGATTTTTCTATTTCTTGTGATAACATAAAAAAAATGTAACATCGTTAGTTAAGAAAAATTAACATTTTTAAAATTTAAGGACTTAAAAAAAAAATTTAATTTGAAGGATTAAAAAGAATTACCAAAATTTAAGTGAATAAAATGATATTCAAATCAATTTAAAATCATGTTAATATTACGTTCAATTTTTTCATAACACGAAAGTAATATTTTAATTAGATGAGAAATAATGATATAAAAACATGCCATAATTTTTATTCTATCTAGAACCCTTGAACTATGATTGAGTTGAAAATATAAAATAACTTTTCCTATAATTTCCATTACTCTTCTGTTTTATCTTACTCAGTTTCGATTTATATTAAATCATATTTGTAAATTAAGATTAAATATTTTAATTAAATATATAATAACAAATGGCCCTTATAGCTCAGTGGTAGAGCGTCAGTCTTGTAAACTGAAGGTCCGTAGTTCGATCCTGCGTGAGGGCATTTTTTTTACTAATTTATTCTTATTATTTAAGATAAGAGGATTAAAAATTTAAAATACTAATTTATTCTTATTATTTAAGATAAGAGGATTAAAAATTTAAAATAAATAATAATAAATAGCCTTTATAGCTCAGCGGTATACTAATAAATAAATAATGTATAGGTGATAAAAAATAAAAAAAAGTGAAATGTTGAGAAACTTTTGACTAAAATGGCTCATACAGTAGCTAATACTCATAATAACTCCTTGAAGTGTGCCGGAGGGTGGTGCAGAATGATGCGTCAAGCTAAGACTTTTACAACATAAAAACACATCCAGAACCAGAAAAGTAATTAACCGATTACAGTATATATACAGGAAGAGGCACACTAAACATGTGAGGATAACAAGTGAAAGGAAGTAGAAATACTTTTTTAAATCAAATTGTATCTGGTATTAGACTTTTAAAGTATGCTGTAGAAAGATCCATGAAAGAGTATACAGAACTAGTTTTATTCTAAAAATCTACCGTATGATTCTAAAGTTTCCTTACAAGATGCAGAATAAAATTTATACGGAAGCGCGAATTTGGACATTTGCAATTAGTCTAGTGAGTTTGCTTAATGTTTCACGAGCAGCTATGGTATCTGGATGATCTTCACCACAAATTGAAGTCCTGATATAAACAGCCTTCCTGATTAGATCATCCCCTATGTCAAATTGTGCACCTCTTAGCATTAATTTGCCCCTAGTCTCAAGCACAGTGGCTCTACACAAAGCCAACTCTTGCCAAAGGCAAGGATTCAACTGAGCATTGGTCTGGATGGACCTCCAGCAAAGTGATTTGTCGAACCACTTGTCAACCGGGGTAACAAATGCTTGGTCTGCAGCTTCCAAGGCATTGGTGCAAAGGTGCAGAAGCTCTAGAGCAGCACTGCATCTAGAGAATGTAATGAATGTGTGAATTGCAAGAGGCAGAACCACTTTTTTAACAAGATATAAGAGCTCTGACACCTCGAGTTCAACAGCCGCAGGATTATGACCAAATGCAAATAGCAGAAAACATGCAGCCCATAAATGCTCTATGCTTTCAGATATTGACCCTTGATTGATAACAGCCTGAACCATTGCTTGTGCAGATCCGGTGACTTCTCTTTTCCGAGCATACAGTTTGATCATTTCATTGAAATGTATATGTCCTTGCTTAGTACTACTCCTTGCAATATTGAATCTTAACAGTAGGGAAGATGCTTCTAATTCTGATTTTTTGGTGTGTGAGGATGTGAATCCACATGTTAAGGATTGCAGTAATTTTCTCCAGAAACAAGTCCCCTTTTGCTTTTCTGGTATCTTCTGAGCAGCAAGTGCCAATAAGGAAACAGAAATTGCACAAGGCCCAAACCATCCACTTACCAGTACCATTCTGGTTGCCAAGCTCCTGGGGCCGTCTGCATGATCAAATATTGAGAAACAAACATCAAGGAGTTGCAGGAGGAAAGTGTTCTGCCTGAATGAGTGAGCTTCTTTACCACTCCAAGACATGTCCTTCAAGGGAATTCTGTTTATGGTATCTAAGAGCCTGCTTGGGGTTATAGGTAACTCAGACAAAATTCCACTGACAAGGGCAAGGCCCAAAGTCAACCTTCCAAGCTTCTCCTCAATGGTTCTCAGAGCATCAACCTCAGCAACTGGATAGTCCTTGCCACTTCCTAGCATTAGAGACATTGCCTCAACTCCAGACAAGTATGAAAGCTTCAGAGGTTCCAAGTTCATGACGCGAGGAAGGCGTGTTGATATAATTACGTGGGTCTCTCCACCAAAACGAGGGAGAAGATCCATCACAAGTTTGTGATCCCACCAATCCTCTTCACTTTCCAAGTTATCAATGATCACAAGATATGGAATGTTTCTCATTAGCTCTTTGCGAATTCCAGAAACAGCTGCTTCTTCCTGCTCTTCAAATCCTTTTATCCTAGTTTTCTCCAAACTATTCTCAACACTCGCATCAACTTCCAAAAAGGACCTGAGGTTAAGGTAGTTTTGCCTAATATACCTGCTCTCCCCTCCTATCCATAACACCATCTTGTATCTCTGGTGAAACCTGTAAGCAAACTCAAGAATAAGTTCTGTTTTACCAATTCCTGAATCACCTGATATGCAGGCAATCCCTTTCCCATATAATATCCTCATTCCTTTTTTCCGCCTAGTATACTTTCCACTGCGTTTGAGCCTTGATCGGTAGTGCCTGTGAGAAAACTCAGTGCTTTGCATTTCAATTTCTTTTTCTGACTCCTTCCACAGAACTGGTGTTTTTTCCTCCCTGCTTCCATTTCCCACATTTCTTTCGTCTAGCACATTACTCTTGCTGCGACAAATAGTCAAATGCCTTCGTTTGGGTCTGGCCTTAAGATCAATATAGTCTTGCCTTGAATCTCCAGTAACATCACCAAAAAGCATAAACTCCAGTTGAGAAAGCTCTTTCTTCCTACCAATGAAGTTCTCATTCCGAGTGAAAGGTAACTCCTCTTCTTTCACTTTCTCCCTCCATTTTGTTAAATGTTCAGCTACACTTCTTCTGCCTAACTTCATTGCTAATAATGTGACAGCCCTCAGTATGCAATTTCTCCAGTTTCCATCATGAGCTTCCAACTTCCGTTCGTCAACACGTGAGAGGCCATGAACAGCATCTTTCCACTCCTGCTCCAACCCTCCATACAGAAGCCAAAGCTCCCCTCCATGTTTTTCCCACAGCTCACCCCTCTTCTCAAT